TGAGATATGAAGAAAATTGCACGCGGATGTATAAAGACAAGGGTTTGAAGTGACTGTTAGGGTTTTCAAGATATCTCAAGATCTGCAATGAATTTGTTGTTGAAATTTGTTGTAAAAGTTAATAAAAATACATCAGTACTTCATGTAAAATTTGAGTTTGTTTGGACGGTCGGATTAGGAGATATGAGGTGTTGAAATTAAAAAAAAATCTCCACATAAGAATAAACAAGGTTTTAGAAGATTTTATCATATTTTGGAAGTTGTGGGTTACTTGAGGATTGTGTATTTGGTGTAATTACTCAAAAAGAAAAAATTATATATAAACTTAGGACTTTCTTTATTTTCAAGCTTGATCGAATAATTAGTGACATCCAAAAGCCCAGCGTTTTTTTGAGGCAAACTCTCTCTACTCCGACATCACGACATAACACCTAGTTAGATAGTATATATAGAGACAAGAGTGAAGCCTTCTTCACTCTTATCAACTCCTTTCTTGCTTCCAGTCTAATTTCAAGGATCTCTAATTTTCTTGGCTTTTGGCAATAGCCATTCCAGTTTCTTTCTTAATATATATATCAAGTTATTTCTATTTTATCATCTTTCTTTGAGAGAAGTCTCACTTGTTTATTTTTCTTTATCATATTCTTGTCCTTGACACCATTTTTCTTTAACACCACTCAATATCCGATTATGCTAGCAACTCTCTATCATCCTATTGATATTAATAATTTGACAATGAAAGAGTTCATACAATAACTTATAATGGCCTTGCAAGAAGCATTGCCTTTTTATCACATAGAATCAATACAAGTAATATGTGGATAACTATTGACAACATAAGACCTAGCAGGGTGATCAAGTAATATTCTCTAATACTAACTTTCTACTTGCTACATCAATTGAAATTTTTAAGTTGGCACCTTGATAGCTTAGACCTTTCCATATTTTTGTAGTGATTTCTAGTGCTGTATACTACCTTAATCTTTCGCCACATATTTGGGTTTATTTGATCTTCTATGTTTTGTAACTTAAAGAGTTTTATATTGAGCCAAGGCGCTTTTAGAATCAATACCAAGTACCACCACTACCACTACTATCACCACTTATTATAATTGATGACCAATTTTGGTCTATGTTGTCGTACATTGTAATAAGATTTATATTGCTATGGATTGAAAGGAATTTAGATCTTAGAGATAATCTAGTTCCATTTTATCTAATCTAGTTCTAAGAGTTTCTAATTTTTTAGTCTTTAGCAAAAGCCATTCCAATTTCTTTATATATATATATATATATATATATATATATATCATCTTTCTTTGTAAAATTATTTACTTATTTATTTATATTCTTTGAATTTTTATCCTTCATAAATAGTTGTGTTAGTTTTATCCAATTTTTCTATATTCTCTCTAATTTTTTTTTTCAATTCTATACCAATTTAAATAAAAAAGGCTCATGTTGGATTTTTGAAGACGGAAGAGAGGCCATAGTACAAGTGAGACTTTTTCTTGTACATGTGCTTTGTGGCTTTATTACATTTTATTTTTTTCATAAAAGATTCTAAATTTAAGACTTCAAAAGTTGTTGCTAATGTGATAAGAGTTTTTTATGAATTATTGTAATTTTTAATAACATACTTTTTAAACTTGAATTATATAAAATTTCTTCATTTAATGAAGTTGGCATTAACTATGAATGTTGTTAAAAATTATTAAAATAAAGAGATTTTATTTGCTCATATTAATCACTTTTATTTGTAGAAATATTAAACATCAATTATAATCTATAAGAAATCAATGGAATCTAAGATATAATGGTCATCTACTATGCAACTAATGGTTTTAAAACTTTTAAGAATCTTGTGCATGGCAAAATAGAAGATTTTTTTTGAAGATAATATGGCACTAAAAAGATTGACTTGTAAGAATAAAATTTTAGTGAATTTGTATGAAATTCTATACCAAATGATATAATCTTGACTATATATATATATATATATATAATTGTATTTTTTACATGCTTCTAAGTTTTTATTTTATGTCACTATCCATATCTTCACAACTAAGTGATTTCTTTCTATACAAGACATAATCAAATCTCTAAAATATATCACCTTTATCATCCATGCACAAACAAAACAAGTCCAATGCAAGGTCCAAGTTTCTCACAAGTAGTTAATAACTTCTTTTCTAATGATTTGAGCTCCCTATAGCTCTATCTGTAAGATTTAATATATTTCTTTTATATCATTGCAAACAATATCCATCCAATGTAATATGAAGGCTTTAAAATCTGCATTGGTCTTAAATTACTTCTTACTTTTTGCCTAAATATTCTTTTGGGTGTACCAAGCACAAAGCAAGTTAATCACAATGTTATCAAAAACTTCATTTATAATTCAAAATCTTAATTACTAAGCTTCTTGTATTTTTGAATAGATACCTTGTCTTATAATATTGATGTATTTATGACAATGATATTATTGTGTATACATGAAGCTATATAAAAAGAAGTATCTATATAATAAAAGAAAGATTTAACTAAGAATTTTAAAAAATAAACAAACATCTATATTTTAAGATTTCTATTACTTAATTGAACTAATTGAGGCTATAAGAATTAAATATAAAAAAGATATTTTAAATATCAAAATATATTAATATTCTTATTTCATATTAATAAAATTGATAAGTATATTTAAAATCATTTAATATTTTTTATAAATAATTTTTTATTCATGGTTCTATTAATATTTGATCATATAAAATCTAATAATTTATTTTAGCATAAAAAAACCAACATTCTACATTGTAGAAACAATATTGTCAAGAAAGTCAATACATAAGCTTAATATGTAGTTGTGTCTTTAAATAAGTATCTTCTAAAATTAATATTTATTAGAAATGCTATAGAAGTATTTTCAGATCAAGTTTCTTTTAAGAAAATAAAGTAAATATCTTCTAAAAAGGTTTCTTCTAAAAGCATTATTTTAGAAGAAAGTAAAAGAATCTAATTTAGAAACTATGTAAAAGTCTTATTTTATACTTTAAGTACTTATTTAATTACAAGAATAGTATTATTTACAGCAACAAGCTAATTTTTATGTATATATAATTTTTATCTAATAAAAATAGTATTGTAGATCATTTAAAATATTACTAATATAATATTTTTTAAATAAAATATTTATTATTATTATATTAAATATTATTAAATATAAATAAGTAATAATTATAGATTTAAGGTTATGTATTTAGATTAATTGAGTAACAATTTAATAGTATGTGAAAATTCTACTTTATTTTATGACTTTTTTGCTATACCTAATAAATAAAATTTAAAAATTAAAGACTAAAATTAACATAAAATAGGTTTTAAAAAAAACTTTAGATTTCATTCACACAATATAACTTATTTGTGGACTTTTTCAATTTGAATGACTTTATAGTCATTTTTTAAAATAAGACTTAACCATTAGATTTTTATGGACTTAGCATCTACATTATAATATACTTTATACTTAATTTTAAGGATTTAAAGTGTATATATATAAAAGACAAAGATATAATTTTAATTGATATCTATAAGATAAGCTATTTATAAGCAAATAATTTTTATATTAAATATATTGGAATATTAAAAAAATAATTAAAATAGATAGAGAAAAAATACATAGAATATATATATATATAATTTTAATTATAAAAAATAATAATTTATTATATGATTAATTTCATAATTCAATTATTCATAATATTATTGTAAAGTGATTACATAAGTGATTGTTGTAGAAAACTTGTTTAGACTTTTAAAGAAAAGAAATACTAAATTAAAAAGTGAATCCCTTTTTTCTTTAGAAAATATCATTTAGATTTGATACAAACTTATAAAGTGGTAGAATCCTTATTTGATTTTAATTTAAATAAAAAATATATAATTAATAATTAATTGTGAAATAATTGTTTCATAAAATTATAATATCTTTGTATATCATGTATTGAAATAAGATCTCTTTTTGGAGTATTTAGCAATAGTATAGATTGATATTTTATTAGCCATGAAATAATTTGATTGTTGTGATGAAAGAAGAGCTAAAATAACAAGTCACAATAAAATATATTAATTGACTGATTAAAATAATAAATAATACTAATAAAAGTAAAAATTAGTTATAATTAGAAAAAACATAACTATATCTTTAATAGGCTAATTAATGACCAAAGATTTTAGATACAAAATATGGAAAAAGAAAATAAAGAAGAAGAAGAAGAAGAAGAAGAAGATATTACATTATAAAAGAAAGGTCTTAATACCAAGTAGAGGTAAAGAAAGATCGTATATTCTTGATAAAAAAATCATTGTGGTGTTATGATTGTAATAGTTTGACCTTCTACTTTCATCTTCATTAAATTCATAGAGAAAAATTGTTATCAAGTATTATCTTGCTTTGACATTTCTAAAACTTAGAGATTGAAAGAATAGCAATTAGAGATGACAAAGTTTGCTGACATTTAAAAGAATAGGAAAAGAATTACAATTTTAGTATATATTTGGGTACTAGTGGCACAAATCTAATTTCTTTGATTGCATGTTTTCACTTTACTAGTTGATCTTACAATTAAATCACAGCATTCTTTATTCTTGTTAACTTATTTGTAGAATTTTTTTCAAAAAATTATAAAATTGTTAAGAACATTGGTATTACATCAAATTAACAATGGATAATTTTTAACCCAAAATATGTTATGATACTTATATATATATATATATATATATATATATTATGTCAAATATTGTTGTTGAATTTTTTAATTAAAATTTTGACATGTTAACAAAAATAGATATCTTTTGACAAAAAGAGAAAAAAGGAAAAGAAAAGATTATATCAGTATATAAGAAAACTTACAAACTATAAAATAATTAAAACCCATAAAAATAAAAATGAAATTACAGATAACCTCAATCTCACCTCTGTAAATGCCGCTTGCAATAAGCTGTAATCAAAACCTCTAAAGCATATTTATTATAAAAAAAAACACCTGAAATCCATCTTCTATGTGTTAGGATATACCTTTTAGTAAATTTGTAACAAAATCTACTAATACAGTGCATGCATTCCCAAGCTGATGTATTAGAAAATGTGGAGATGCTGCTTAGTGTAAGTTGTAGGAGTGCAGGAGGATGCTCAAAAATGAGTGACCTAAGGGTGAGAATTGTTAAGGTTGAGGTGTATCTCACAAGGCTCCACATCAAGGACCATGCCATTGCCTTCTATGTCATCATCATTGACCTGGAGGAATAGTCTGAATAATGGCAGCATGTTTTCCTCCTCTGCCTCTTCATGATATGCATTTTCATGCATTGCCACATACTTATCTGCCTCTTCACAATATCTATGTGCATACACAATCTCATTCTCATCTCCAATGCCATCTGCCTCTGCATGACACCCATATGCCTCTGAGTAACACCAGTCTGCCTTGGCATCATACTCACATGCCATTGCATAATCCCCATTTGCAGCTTCATAACACTCATCTACCACATAATCTAAACTTACATTGGATTCCAGTGACAACTTTCCTGCTACCCCTGGCACAAGAGGTGCTGGCAGTGGAACTGCAGCCATGGTCAGTTGCAGACTGGGCTAAGATGAATTGAACTCTCACAGTCAGCTTTGTGACATACACTAATTAATGCACCACCCACATCTTGACTGGCCTGCCATTCATCACAAAACATTAGGTTTTAAACAGTTCCTTTGTGGTGTATTGAAAGGGGAATACCTACTTGAACATGGACCTAAACATGTAGGAGATGCTGAGAAGAAACTACTGCTATGACGGACGCTGGCGTGACATTATCTGATTAACCGAATCCAATCTCAAGCTGTATTCCCCGCTTGCTTGACTAATTCATCGCGCTTTCTGAGACTCTCAAGGACCGGTCGTTACCTTTTCGATTGAAACCCCGAGAAACAGCTTGTTCACGCTGACTGCTCTAGACGGTGGCGCGCGAAGTTCGGCAACCACAAACCCCGTCCTATGATCGACTTAAGATACGATTTATCCACACATGCAGTAGTAAAATTCTCCAATGTACAAGTCAGTGCTTTGGCATTGGACAACGGAGTCAGATCTGCGTCCACCAAGCCAGTTATAATAGAGCCTGTGAAGCATTTCATTGAGGCGAATGTTTCGCTGATGCTCTGATTCCCTTCAACCCACTTGAATAGCCCAGTTTTGCTCCCTGTGTCATCCCGAGTTCGAACAATCAGTTGCGCAACACATACATAGTGTAAAAAACAAAAAACGATAGTACATAGCTCAATACCTTCGACCTCCTCGATCTCCTTGAGCACCTCTCATAAAGTCTTTTCGGTTTGCTAGTTAGGCTCCTCAAAACTCCCCAGTTCGACCATGGAGCCAGCTCCCTCTAACACAGATTTTCCAAGCTTTTTCGAAGGCTGGACAAGAATGTCCAGCAGCTTGAGATGAGTAGCGGCCTCGGAAAGTGGTGGAATAACAACAATGCCGTAGTTATCAAACATGAACTTTGCGAACGATGATTTAATGGGCGCCATCTGTGGTCGCTCCCAGCTATACGCTGCATCAAGCAGGAGGAGCGTTGGAGAAGGTGGGCGAAGCTGGCCTTGTTCCACTTCCACCTAAAGCCAAAAGCTTGCGATGCCTAGTGGACGTGCAACGCATTAGATCGTCATGGGCTATTGGTGCAAGTATTTTAACCAGACAATGTATACACATACATCAATAAATACACGGTGATGATAATGAGAGCTTTAGCACTGTATTACACATGACATTACAGGGTGTAGACTGAAAGAGAAACCTATCAGAGCAAGTAATGTACTGCTCGAAAGGTACTCCGGATGAATGAAACTCTAGGATAAACTACATTGTACTTCGTTGACAATGTAACATCAACATAGGCCCTGCGGAATGGGATATTGGAATTTGAGAATAAGGTACATTTATTGGGCCGGTACATGAGAGGATCCAGGAATGGCTTGAACATTAGTCAAATTAGCAGCGACGAGTGAAGTGTCTGAGAGTTTCTGTTCCACGTGCCCATTAGTATCGCTGTCATTTTCTGGAGAACAGTGGTGGTTGTCGGGGGCTGTGAAAACGAGTTAAGAGGCCCTGATGATCAAAAGAAGCAGACAGCATTCTGAAACGATATACGGTATGGAAGAGCGAAGTGATAACTGAGTGCCTTTTTATTTTTTTTAAATTGTAGTTGTAAAGAGATAAACACCGCGTGATTTGTGGAAGCAAGTGCGCCTGAGAACAGCCTCATGATGTGGCAGAATTCGCGGTGCAGACACAGTCGAAGTGGATGTATCCTTCGAGGACCTTCCCATCCTAGATTTTACGCTAATTACAGCCAAGTTATTGATCCACTGAATAAATTAGCAGTTGCAATGTGACAGCCTGGTGGAAGGAGAAAGCTGGTATCTCAGGTGGTGCTGCAGGAGGAAGAACACACAACGAATGAACTAAAGAACGAACGAATAGAAGAAGGTAGGAAGGAATGAAGAAAGAACGAATAAACTAAGGAAATGAGGGGAAGAAGCTTTAGATGAGAGGATTGCATTTGTTTCATTTCCATACATTCTTAAAATCATTTGCCAGTATAGATGTACGTATCTATGCCCCATTACATTAAATAATAATTAGACACTACGTTACTTTAGATTTGGTTTTTTAGATTCTACATAGAAGAAATAGAAAAAAGATAAAGGAAAGCTTATGAATTGATAACCCTACCTCTTTTTGCTGTGCACATGTTACTTCAAGATTATTTTCTTTGGGTCCACGATGTAAAAGTACGTTGCACCTAAAACTATGATTAAGAATTTTGAAATAATAAGCGTCATTTCCGAGCCATAATAATAGAATTTCATAAACACATCGGCAACACGAGCCCATGTGAGCAAGTACACGTGCATCTCACTCAAAAACCTAATGTGACACGTTAATTAATTCTTACGCATGGCATCAACCGCCCTCAAAATTGCAAAAATTCTGAAACCAAAGTGCGGTAGATTACTCTGAACATATTGGAAGTCATCGACGTGGAGGAGGAAATGCAAAAGAAAAACTCAAAAGAATATGTGAATGCGATGTGAATGTGAGTTGAAATCCGTGGTGCCTGCGTCCACGGCTTCGGTGGCGAAAGCAGCGATGGGCTAGGGCCTAAGATATTATGCCATGGCTGGCGTCGTGCCACCGCGCTGCGAGGCAAGTTCCGGGCGACATAAATGGGGTGGATGGAGTACTGGCCAAGTGTCTGCAAATTTCCACAAAGCCGCTGTCGTTCGTGAATCTGTTTTGATGCGGAATATTTTGGAGGTTCTTGGCGATGCGTCGACTAGTTTCCGCAGGATACTAGAGGGTGGAATTGGGTTTGTGGTTACGCAGTGCACATTTCGGTAGCAGACTTGGATGGAAGGAAGAACCAGAACACGAGCTGATTATTAGTCGAGCGTAGAGCGCAGGGTTGGTCGTCGGAGTGCATTGATCGATTCGTCGTTGTAGCGGGGTCTCCACCTTTGGGTTTGGTTTTTCTGTGACCTAAATGTAAGTAGAATATGCCTTGGGGCTTAAATTGAGTTAGACGAGATTGGCAGGGGTCGCACATCGCAAGTCAATGGCAGGCCGAGGTGGGAAGCAAGCTCTCCAACATTTGCATCGTCTGCGAGTGTCATCGAGCGTTGGAGATGGCGCCGTTAGGGCGTCGCATGCGCGTTACTCTGTTTCCACAGCTACTGGGGTGCCCCTTGCTGAGACAACGGAGGCAGAGACCGTAGAATCGACGTCTGCGGGACGGAAAAAGCTTCTTGTTCTCGGAGGGAGTGGCTATGTTGGCACTCATGTGTGCAAGGAAGCCCTGTCGAAAGGCATCTCCGTGGCAAGCTTGAGTAGGTCGGGAAGGCCTGGGGTTGCAGAGCCTTGGTCCCAGGATGTGGAATGGATTAAAGGGGATCTGTTCCATCCTTCGAATTGGCGAAATGAGTTGAGCGATGTGTCAGCTGTCATATCCTGTGTTGGCGGATTCGGGTCCAATCAACAAATGCAGAAGATTAATGGCGTAGCTAATGTTCAAGCCATTCGAGCGGCAGCAGATGCGGGTGTGGAGAGATTTGTTTTCGTTTCAGCGCATGATTTTGGTCTGCCGTCTTTTGTAATGCGAGGTTACTATGCAGGAAAGCGAACTGCTGAAGACGAACTTCTTCAGAAATTTCCCTACAGTGGTGTTATCTTGCGTCCCGGATTCATTCATGGCATCCGTCAAGTGGGAACATACAAACTGCCACTGAATATTATTGGATCCCCACTTGAATTGGTTTTTAAAAACCTGAAAGCAGCCTCTCAGGTCCCTGTGGTCGGTAAGCTTCTCGTGCCTCCCGTGAAGGTGGTCACTGTCGCCAAAGTTGCTGTCAAATCTGCCATGGATAATTCTGTTCCTCCCGGAGTGATGGATGTTTGGGGCATTATGCGGCTGGGCGGGGATTTATAGCCGTGAATCAGATGATTGGCCCCTCTTTGGGCTTCATGCTTTCCAAGTTTTGCAGCTTTTCCATCTTGAAAGGGATTATTGCAGCATAGAAGTTTCACAATAATGTTTGCGAGGGAGAGGTGGGGCTGCCTCAGAGCCATAGAAATACTCTTGATTGAGGGTTTAGGGTTTAAGCTTTAGGTACTGACAATGCACTGCATACGATCACCACGGTTGAGCGTTGCCTCAAATTGTGACTCCGCAGCAGACGATCAACAGTGAGGTATTATGGCTTAACCTGGCCCAGTGGTTTTTCCTGGCATATGATTGTGTGTTTTTCAATGAATGTGGAACGTTATTGCTCCTTCGGAAATAAAATCTTCCATATCTTGCGATTGGAATCTGTTTCAGTGGTGTGTTCGTAATCTTTCGAGCTGTAATCCGCGATAAATCTACCGTCTCGCTCCGTTCTCTAGCGTTGTAAAGCTGTTCATTGGTCTTATTTTAGAGATCGACCAACATACTTTCTTCTCAAACGTTTGAATCTCCTCCACGGCAGCCAGCTACTCCTTCCGGTTCAAGATTGTTCCATTCATTAATTTGAAAGCATACTCTAAATGAAACGATTACACTGAACTTTATATTCCATGTGAGCTTCCTTGTGAACATGACAATAGGACAAGTCGGCTTTTACCTTCTCACAAAGTGTGACGAAACGACAGTCTGGACTCTTCTGAACACCCTGAAAGTAACCAAGTAATTTGCAGACAGTCTCAGGAGAAAGCAAATTAAGAGTTTGAACTTCAGGAAAGGAACAGTGTTAGAAGGAAACGAGGTCACATGCTGTAATACCATAGTAAAAAAATGAAGACCACCAATGGAGGGGACACGACACATTCGCCGAACTGAGAATATCCACAAGGGAATTTCTCGGATTGGATTATGCCCATCCATCTGGCAGTATGGTGCTCAAAACAGTATATTACATTCACAAATCAACATGCAATTGCTAAAATTTAGAATCAAATTAAGGTCTTGATGAGAAGCATGTTCCCCTGCCATTAAGCAAGCAAATTATAGTCTTAGTGTTTGCCAACTTTTGAGAGATTTTGATTTTCACATATAAAAAAAGATTTTACCTTTGCATATGCTCATTGGACAAAAAGCATGGATAGAATCTTGTGTCCAATTGTCTATTTAGATAATAATTTATAGAATAATCTTTACTTGTAAAGATTAGTTTGGAAGTAGTCTTGTTAAAATCATGAGCAAAGTAAGAGGTCATCAAATATGCACTTTTAGAAAAATATTTATAAGAATATTCATTTATGAAAGTAAATTCTTGACCAATTTAATTTAGTCAAATTATTGTAAGTATTAATCACCAAATAGATCTTAGACTAAGTGTAATTAGACAAGGCATTTGACAAGTCTTGTTATTTTCCAAGATAATATGTAAAAAATGGCTTTGAAAAATCTAGAAAATATAAAATAGGAGTTAAAGTAAAGTCTATTTTCAAACCTTTCAAAGTTTCTTTTGCATCTTTATTCCATTCTAATTTTTCTTTTTAATAATAGATTGAGTCAATTTCAAAAATAATCTTAATAATATCAAATAATAGTTTATAAATTCTAAAAAATATTAGACATCATGCACAATTCTTATAATTTTTTAATCTATAATAATATACACCTTTTTAAAATCCATTTACAAACTATCATTTGAATAATATATTCCAAAATTCTACTTGAGTTTTGTAAAAGACATATTTTTCCATCTTCACATATAATCTTACATCTCTAAGTTTTTGTAGTATTAGACAAACATATTATTCATGTTTTTCTATATATTAAGAATTGATAAGAATAACATCTAAATAATGCACAACAAAATTATCTAGATATTTACAAAATATATTGTTCATTAAATACTAGAAAGCAATTAGAGCATTTGTAAGTCCTAAAGATATAACATTATATTCAAAATGGCTATACCTAGTCCAAAACATAGTCTTCTATTTATGTCTTTTTTTTAATGCATATAAAAATATAGGCTCCTTATAAATCTAATTTAATACATATCTTAGCTTTATTTAGTTGATCAAAGAGTCTCAATATAAAAAACAAAGAGTAATAATTTTTGATGGTCAGTTAATTAAATCCACAATAATCTATATATATTTTTAAGGATCCATTTTCTTTCTTTACAAAGAGGATTAGCCTATTTGTAGGAGATTCTAAGTATTAAATAAAATTATTTCTAAGATTTTTATCAATGCATTCTTTCAAAGCAATAAGTTTATTATATAGCAAGTTGTAAATTAGTCCAAATAATGGTTAAGCTCCTTCTTAAAATTCAATTGCACAATTATAATATTGGTTTTTTAACAATAAATCATCATTCTTCTTCTCAAAGATATTTTAGTATATTTTATAATATTTTAAGATTCTATTGTAATATTTATTTGAATAAAGACTTGATATTGCAACTTATATAAATGCCTTGGCTCTTATAAATGAAGGTCAAAATGGTTTTATTTTATTTTATTTTATTTTATTGAAATTAGATCTTAAAGTAATATTTTGTAATTTCCAATCAATATTGGAATTATATACTTAAAACCAAGGAAGATGAGATACCATTGGATTTGAAGAATATTGAATGATGTAAAAGAAAATATCACATACTTAATCTTTTAATGCCACTTTTATTAGTTTAATTTCTTCTATGACATCTTTGGATGTAAGCAATTGTCCATCAATAACTTCTATTAGAGCTGATTGGATCTTCTTTGAAAGTATAAATTCTTCTTGTATTGTAAAGTCTATATCCATAAAATATATTAAAGCTCTATTGTTTAGAAGCACTCAAGTAGAAAATTTATGATTTACAAAAACATTTGTCTTTTTTATTAAGTCAAACACTTAAATAGAATTATATCAATTTAGATAGGTTTTGGTCTTGATGAATAAGTTTCCAAAAACTTGAGAATTGTTGTGAAGACTTGATTTATTCTTCTTTAATCAAAACTTTGTTCTTGGCCTATATTAAAGAATTAATTATTACATGCAATGATTTAAACAATAAATTATTCTAATAAACTTGTTTATTTTATTTTTAATAGTTAATCTTTAATATTATCTTTTAATTCATATTAAAATTCATAATAAGGACTTTATTATTTAAATCCACATTGTAAAGAAGGTTTTGAAATATGACAATATAGATGGTAGTTGATTATGATCCTTGTTGTAAAAACTAGGGTTTTAATTTTACTACCCTTTTTCAATTACTTTTTCTAAATGTGGTTGTAAATACTTTTACAAATAAATTTAGAACATATAGAAATTTTAAATTCTTTTCCATGAAATATGCAAACCAAAAGAAAATACTATGTGATAAATTACCAAAGTGAACACTATCAAAAGTGAACTTATAAATTTAACTTGAATAAATCTATCATGATATTAAAAAAGAAGTCACCTTAAATAAAATTATATTTATTAATTTTTATTTATTTATTTATTTATTTTTATAATTTTATTCCATTAAACAATATAATAAACTTTGCTTCCTTCATAATTTTAATAGCAAGACTTTTTAGATTCACTTGTGAGGTTGGTGTACTTACTTCACTCAATTGTACAACTTCTTAGTATAGACATTTTATCTCATTGTTGGCTTCTCCTATAGACGTAGGAATAATATTTTCATAGTTAACATTGTCAATACATGAAATATTTTTATTAAGAGTATTGACAAGCTCCTAAAGATTTATAATAGCTAAAAATAAAATATCACTTCCATCAAGTATAGCATTCATAATATTTTTTTCTTCTATTTTTATAACAAATAATTTTAACAAATCTATAAATAAAATTAGAAGAAAGTGATTTTTAACCTTTGATATCAAATAATTTTTTTTTTAAAGATGGTAAGTTTATTCACTTAAAAAAAAATCAATATCATAAAAAAATATTAATTTAAAGGAAATAATTTAAAATCTTTAAAATACAACAATACAAAGTAGGATGATTTATTCACTTCAAATACAAATTTTTTTTAATATATTAGTACTCTTACAAACAATCAAGGAAATTTATCAAAAAAAAAAAAAAAAAAAAAAAAACTCTCATACCATTAAAAGATAAAAAATAGATAATTAAAAAATAAATAAAGAATTAAAATTATAATGATTATTTTTTATTGCAAAAAGATTAAGAAGCCTTAAATCAAAATAGAGAACAAGAAATGTGTTGATAACAATGAAAAAGATCTCACTCTTACCTCTATATATACTATCTACTAAATAACTATGTAGCAATGTTATATAGGCCATATGACATGTGTTTAACTTGTATGGCACATGTCTAATTTATAGGACAATTTTTTAACATGTGAGCTACATGTCCAATTTTTTGGCCAAGTTGTCAATCTATCAATTACTTAGAAATTGTGTAAAGTCTATAAAACTTTTTAACAAAAAATCAAAAATTTAACCTATTTATACTTATTTCTAACTTATTCTATTTATCTAAATAAACATATTATTAAACATATCTATTATAATACTATTATTAAACTTGGATGCTAAAAGATTTACGTACAAATCTCTTGTATGATCTATTTTTATTAAAATTATACAAAAATAAAGTCTAATTATTTTAATCTAATATTTTAAATTATAGTATGTCTTATATTTAAATTTATTAGTAATAAGCTTTAATATTCCTTAAATATTATGAATTGAGATAGTTATTTTGTATTATAAAGTATTTATTTAAATTTTTAGAATCTAAATTAAGATATATTAAAATTAAATTCTAAAATAAATCTTAAAAGACCAAAAATCATATGTTAATAATAAAAATAATAAAAAATTCATATATTAATAATAATAAAAAAAATTCATAAATTTTTTTCATAAAATATTCATTACCCTTCTCTTAACCACCATCCTTTCTTAAAGCAATGAAATAGAAAATTGTACAAAAAAAAGAGGCATATTGTTAGCTAGTTGTATACTACAAAATCACATGGAGTATAATAATATCAATAAAAGATGTAGCATTATCAATTCTTTATATATAATATCTTCTTAAGAATACTTTTTTCTCAAATTCAAAGATAATTATATGATTACAATGAGTTTGGCTTTAACACAATTGAGATTTATTACACATTTTAAATTTTAAATTTGAAATAAAAAATGTGTAATCAATCTCAAAGTGAAAGGAACTCTTTGTCTTTCTATATCCTTCTATCTTCTTTGCTCTTACCTTAAGTTGTCTTGTAGAGCAATTGATTCTTATTTCCAAACACAAGCTTCTTTATTGGATCTGCACTAAAACATGATTATTCTAGTAAAATCATGTGGCTTAGTATATTATTAACTCTTTGCCAATACAACAAATAATGAACAAAATGTAACAAAAATAAAATAAAAATAAAATCAAAACTTGGAAGAAAAGAAAACAAACAAAACAAACAAAACAAAACGAAACAATACAAAACAGGGACTAACAATTGCATAAGCATGTTTTTTCATATTCCAAGCTTTAATGACAAAGTAAAAAGATGCATCATTCTGGCATTTTTCATCCCTTGAAATCACAATAGCACACACATACATACATTATATTGGATATATATATATATATGAAAATGATAAAGCGACCCAAATTTTTACTAAAACAACCCACATGTTTAAACCATCATTCTACCCTTTCAACCATGTCTTTGTTCCCAGCTGCTTCTTTGTTCCCAACCATTGCCCATATTCCTAATGTTCTTAACCTCTTGCCTCCATTCCCGATGTTCATAGTCTCTTGCCTCTATTTCCAACTTCTATTTTTAGCAATGGTTGGAAACAAGGAATGGCTGAGAATAGGGATGGGAGCTACAAGGATACAATAATGGTTAATTTAGAGTGAATTTGCGTTAGTAAAAATTTGGGTTGCTTTACCATTTCCCAGTATATATATATATACATATATTAATTTGTATGTATAATGGGCTTGTTTTGAGATAGATATAGAACAAAACATAACAACTATGAGATATTATGATTTATCATGAAAAAATAAAAAATCAAGATGAATTTTTTGGTAAATGCAGAAGTAGGTCACTGAAGCTATCGTACCTGGCTCCCTCATTCTGTGTCAGAGAAAAGGGCTGAATCATCCACGTCACCTCATACTGGGTAAGAATGACGTGGACACGGTGAAGGATCCGACGTTGCATAGGGGTGGCTCAAGAGTGGCCTCTCCAAGCGGACACTGCTTTCGGCGTTTCTTTAGGATGGAAGATGTAGCGACGAAGCCGAGGCGACACCACAATCATCAACGCCACGCCTCCGAAGCCCATGAGCAATCCTACGCATATCCCCGGCACTGAAAGTGTCCCCCCTATACTCCACACCGACCTCGATTCGCACTGCTTCTCAAGCGGCAACCCGCACAATCCTTCGTTCCCAGGCCTGAAACTCTCTTTCGTTGTGCGGGTACCAAAACCATTTTCCTGCGGGATTTCTCCTGATAGATCGTTGCCTCCGAGGTAAAACTGCAAGGTGGCAGGCATCCTCGCTAGCATGACGGGAACCGGACCTGTCAAACGATTCGAGGACAAATCCAGGGACTGCAGTTTCTTAAGGCTTCCCTCTTTATCCGGAATTGTTCCACTCAGGGCATTGTTAGAGAGGTTGAGTACCCACAGGTAGTCCATTTGTAGAATGTCATCAGGTATACGCCCTGTGAGGTTGTTAGCTCCCAAGTTCAGTATCGCAGTCCACACGAGCCCGTTACCATTGAAAGTATAAACCTTGCGCTGGTAAATGAATGAAAGATCTACTTTGAAGGGACTCAGACTCAGTGAAACTCTGTAATTCACCTCCGTCTTGGCATTGGTGTCGATTGGCTGCAAGGTTACGTTGTCAATGAAGGCTCTCATATTGGTCAAGTTTCTCGAAATCTCTCCGGATAGTTTGTTGTTGGACAGATCCAGCATAGTTATATTCCTACTCTTCCATATCCAACCCGGAATCGCACCTTCGATCTCGTTCGACTCCAAGGTGAGCACTCTCATCTTCTCAAGGACCGTCGGCCTCGCTGGCACGGGAATTGATCCCGTCAGTTTGTTCCGGCTGAGGTCGAGAATGGTGAGGTTTTCGCAGTTGAAGAGCGCTTCAGGAAATGTTCCGATGAGGGCATTGTTTGCCGCTGTCAAAACTTCGAGAAACGGAAGTTTTGTGAAGTTAAGACTCCCAATTTGTCCAGAAAGGCGGTTCTTTGACAACAGAATGCGAGTCAAGTTTGTGCAACTACTAAGCGTCGCCGGGATCCCATCCTCGAGTTGGTTGTCGTTTAGGTGCAGGTCTTTTAGCATGGAGCACCGGCCAAGGCTTGCGGGTATGGCTCCAGTGAGACTGTTGTTGGCTAACCACAACCTCTGTAATGCTCGCAAGTTCCCCAACTCGGCTGGGATGGCTCCGCTGAGCCGATTGCTCTGTAGAAGCAATGTGGTGAGATTGACGCATTGAGAGAGCGAAGCAGGGATGTTGCCAGTAAGGTTGTTGTCATTGAGAGCAAGCACCAGCATTGAATGGATGTTGCACAAAGTAGGGATTTTACCGCTGACGCTTGTACTGGTAACGACCAGACTGTCAAGAGTCATGTTGCCGAATTCAACGGGTATGGACCCGTTGATGCGCTCATTGCTTTCGATTATAACTGAGCCTAATCTTGTGCAGTTTGCAAGTGAGGCAGGGATGGGCCCTTCTAAGGAATTGTTGCTTAAGTAAAGCAGCCGAAAATTTTGCAAACCACCTAGATTGGTGGGTATAACCCCAGTCATGAAATTGTCTTGGAATTGCAGGCTTTCCAACTGGGGACATTTGCTGAACGCCGGTGAGATAGTCCCTGTCAGATTATTTGCCCCAAACACCACATTTTTGAGAGCAGTGCAGTTAGTGGCAGTGAGCGCAGCAGGTATCTCTCCAGAGAACTGGTTGTGGTCCACTTCGTAATTCTCGATAAAATTCCACTGTTGCCCTGGGAATGGCGGAAGACTTCCCCTGAACTCATTGTAAGCGAGATAGATCAAACGTATCTTGCTGCAATTGCCAAGCATCCCGATTTCCCCCGAGAACCTGTTAAAGCGAAGCATAATTATGCTAAGCTCTTCCAAACGCCCGAACGACTCCGGTAAGGTGCCGTTCATATCATTGGCCTCAAAATCGAGGTTGTATAATCGACTGCAGTTTCCAAGCGACCTTGGCAACGGCCCTTTAAGGTCGTTCGTTCTTCCCACGAGCTCTCGCAAATTGGGGCAATTGCCAAGGCTCTCCGGAAGAGAGCCATTGATCTTCTTGTTCTCTGCAAAATTCAGTACTTCAAGGTGCTGAAGTTTCCCCAGCTCCGCAGGAAGTTCTCCGCTGAGCTGATTCCAAGCTACGTTCAGAGTTTTCAGATTCGTGCAGTTCCCCAGAGCTGGAGGAATGGAGCCTGTCAAGGAGTTGTTTTTAAGCACTAGATGCTCGAGGGCCGACAGCTTTCCAAATACAGACGGAAGATTACCTTGCAGGAGTGTGTCTTGAAGTGTGAGGTTTTGCAGAAAGGTAAGATTTGCCAAAGCCGAGCTCAAAGTCCCATTCAACACAATTCCGGTGATGTTCAGAGCAAGGACTCGTCTGGGAATGTCAGCATTGCATGTCACCCCCGCCCACTGGCAGTAGTCGGCGTTCATACTGCTATTGCCCCAGCTGTTCAGCGTATCATTTTTGAACTCCCCAAGAGCCTCAAGTTTGAATTGCAGCAATACTCTTTCGTCTGCTGTACTCTCCGACGTTTCCTGCAGCAATGATCGGCCATGCTTTCCTCCCTCGGTTCTTGCACTTAGAGTTGGCAGGAAAAAGAACATGTATGTCACAAGCAGGCGCCAACACACCATGTGCAGTCCCATTGGTTCCTGGAACATTTGAGAAGCGAATCGTCGAGTGAAGCAATTCTACTTGGCCTATCAAAATTGTGCCAAGTTTCTAACCCCAACCAGCACAACCCAAGGAGCCACAACTGACACAACCCAAACAAACTAACCAGGGCTGCGATGATTGTCGGTTACATACATGCAAAGTAGATTGAGGGTCACGAAACTAGAGCTCCAAATTTTCTAGGTTAATGAACTAATCGGCGTATCTTTTCTTCATTCAACAGAACAATATATTTAGTTTCGAAGGCCACAGCTGCTAGCCCTGGATTTGGTTTCTATTCTCGAGCGCACAACTCTACAGCAACACCCTCACACCCCTCACAGAACTTACACTCGACATAACTGGATAATAAGGCGAAGTGCGGAGCTTTAGCACAATAACACTGCGTGATAGCAACAGAAAGAAAGATCCAGTTTCAGAATTGCATTCACTACACCAATAACTCATCACCTCGCGATGGCATTTTTGGAAGAATTGAACACGAGGACTTCTTTGGTTACAGGATGTAAGGCTTGTTCATGATTAATTGAGGTGCAATTAAGAGCCCTTGTTGACGCAGCATGCCTTTTGTCTGTCTTGTCAGATAGTCTCAGCCCACATATGCCCGACCGGAGAACTGTTCTACCCCAATAATTTCCCATCCACCGTCAGATTTAATTTCTTCTGGATTGTATTTCAACGATTCCCTTCCCTTATTGCAGATTGGTGGATTCCCCTGCCGGTCAGCGACAAACTTGCCAGTACCATCAAAGTCAAATCGAGGAACGCGTACCCCTGGATGCTCAAGCCAAACTGTATTGGTCCGATTCAGCTGAAATCAGAGGAAATCATGCAGAAATCCTTTTTTAGAGCCTTCCAACTCTCCCGATTTGGCATGGTGTATTGAGAAACTTCTCAGCCTCCACCTACACGACAACGCATACTTTTACACCGTTTCTTTCAAATGAAAGCATGATTTTCAGTGAAACAGAATGTTGAAGTGTTTCGAACGGTGTTAGTGGTCATGTGAAACAAACTCGTATTGTGCTCACAGTTTTTTACTGAAGCGTATGAAACTATTATCGCTATTGCTGGTAGAACGGACGTGTCTACGATGTACCGCTTGCAATACTGCACCTCGATAAGATAAGGATAGTGATGCAGAAGTGCCACAAGTTGACTGAAAGTAATGTTTCTTTTTTCTGAAGTCGACGCACAATTATCCAGCTGTATTTTGAACAACGACTGCTTCAGGGCATAGATTTCTGATGATACCCACTTCTAAATCCAAAAACATTGTCCATTCATCCCTCCCATTCTTGTGCCCCGACAAAATGAGGATATTGTTGATTCAGTAGGCGTGAGATGAAAACAAATGCTATTGATAGAAAGTTTATGCCTTTGGTGGTAATTTTGCACGAGTGTCCGAAGCCCACAATAGCTGTAGTGGCAGAATATGTTGTCAGATTTTTTGTCGAACAGCTGAAAAAGCAGACCAGCTTTTTTAAACACCTTAGCAGCTCACCGATTTGCAGAGCAGATCTAATGAAGACCAGGACACATGAAAAATGTGACCTAGAATACATTCATTCTTACATTGTTGCCAACATCAGCTCCTGGATGAGGCTTATCATGTAATTTAGGACTATGCATGTGTCATATATACTCACACACATCTTATTTATTTGAAAAATCAAATTGGTTCGTACAATTCTAATTTTTATTAAGAACTGGGTGTTTTATATTATTAAACCTTTTTTTTACTAGAATGTGTTATAATACTTACATGGAAGAAAGTCTATTACATTATCTTTCTTGATTCTTGATTTTTACAGAGTTAGTTATAACATTGCAGAATTTCAAAAATGATATTATAAAAAAATATTTGTAAACTTATCTAAACACACTTTAGCCATTTGTAAATGTTTTTCAAAGATATTAGATTAAAAAAATGTCTAAAAGACTGCACTTATCTATCTAAATCTTCAACATCCATCAGTTTAGGTTTTGTACCTAAAGTACTTTGTGATGTTTGATAATTATTTTACAAAAATAATAAATATTGATTTTAAAATCTAATATAGTAAAAATAAACTATTTTGAAATGATGATGTATAAAAAATTAACAAAATAATTAAAAAGAAATTGACGAGGTTATTTCTTCTCACAAATATATTCTTCGATTTGTGGTTAATATATTTCTTTGAAAAATGTTCAATATTATGTTAAGACTTTCAAAAATATAAACACAAATATTCTTACTAAACCTAAGTTTGATAAAGTTTAAGATATTTTCAACAATATTATATAAAAGATGTATACAATGTATTATTGTTTACAATTTTTATAATATATATTGGAAGATTTGAGTAAATCAAAATTAAAAAGGAAAGTTTTATCATGGATGTATTATACAACCATTTGTTAAAGCAATTTGTAATCCCTCCTTTTTGGCACAACCTTAAAGTACTAAAAGAATGTGCTTTGATAAATGAATATTCTTAGAATATGGCCATTGGTGGCACCAATGCTTGTGCAATTGGGTAGCCACACTATCTTCTTCTTCCATCCAAAAATTCCCTACCAAGGCCCATTTGAGGTTGGAGGTGGAGACGCCACACCTAATGAAGGTATTTAGCCACCAACTTGTTATGAAAATGTCTTGGTGACACCAGTCCCATTCTTACATAGAGATGAGTTAGTAGTTTGTGTGGATCCACCATATAGGACTAAGCTTGGCAGTAATTGACTATCTAGTAAGATTCTCATCAATTGTTAGACTTGAGGCTATGTAGTTGCCTCTTATATGATCTTTAGGAACTTATTCTCAGTCCCACTATTTTTTTATTTTTGGCATTATATCTTTGTTTGTGGCATTATATTTTTATTTGTGGTATCATTATTTTTTATTTTTGGCATTATATTGAGCAACACAAATACATAATGCCTTAAATAATAAAATAATAATATATTATAACAAGTTGATTTGAGTATGATAAGTAAGAGGTTTTTAGCAGAGAAGATGTGTTCAGAGAAGATAGTCTATAGGTATTGCTTGCTCAATCAATCATTACCATCTGATGGAATTTGTTGTTTTTCTACATAAATGAGTTAATGTTTCAAGCATCAACTTTGGAAAGCTATTAGAGTAGGATATAGATGTTTTGTTCCTCTCTTCTCTTAGTAGTAGATGTAGCCTCTAATATGAACTTCAACATTCATTTTTGCAATTGTGTCCTAATAGGATCTTTCATCAAATTATTATCTAAAGCATTCGAAGCATGTATCAAGGTGTCATGGACACATATATTTATTCTAATATTTACTTATATAATTAAGTAAAAATAGATAAAAATAGATTTATTTCATAATATTTTTTAGCAAAGCTTCTTAAAAGCTTCATAGATATTGCTTTGACTTCATATATATATATTTTTAGTTGATTGATATGTTAGAAACTTGATCAACAAGTTAATCATATGTTAATAGTTTGGAGAACAAGCTAACTATGTGGCAGACATATAGAAAACTTGCCTTATAAATTAAGATACTTCTCTTGCAAAGTCAATACGTTTTCGAGGTCCTATAGGATATTGCCACATAGCTACTTATTAAGAGTATATGCGGAGGCAAGAATGAGATCTTTTTTATTCTTGTCAATGCCTTTTTAGTTCTTACTCTTATTTCAAGACTTTCTAGACTTCTTGTCTTTAGCAATAGCCATTCTAATATAATATTATATCATCTTTGAGTGATTTTTTAGTTTTTTCGAGTAACACAAGAGTGTACTAACATTTTAGTTATTTGAGATTCAAGTCTTTCACAATTTGATAAGAGTCCTAACTCATTGTTCTTATCTTGTTTTAGACGTAAGAGAATTATCTTCCATTGTTGTATTTTGAAGGTTGCAGATTATCCATCTTTGAATAAATAATTTGATTTTCTAATATTATTTTTTTTCTTAAAAAAAGCACATTACTTTTCTTTGTAGAAATTTTTATTTGACATTAGAAGTTGTAAATTATCCTCTTTTAATTTGACTTGTAGATTTATTAAGTTGTTTAAAATAAAAAAAATTATGGATGCTATTGAAAGAAGTAAGAATAGATTTACAACTATTGCAGATCTTTACTTACTTCTCAATATTTTTAGGATGGAAATTTCATGCATCTTACGCCTATGGAAGAAGTTCAAAGTCTGTATTAAGAAGTAGTCTAATCGAAAGAAGCGAGTAGATTGATTTCTAAACAATTTCAAGAACTTTTTCTTCTATAAGTATAATGGGGATAAGGATTAATATGCTTGAGAATTTTGATGGAACAAGATCAAAATTTTGAAGATTTTTGTAGAAGTCAAGCTTCATCTAAGATTGCATTCTTTCCAATACCCTAATAAATTTATTCAAGTTGGATTTATAAGTGCATCAAGATTATAAGCTAAAATAAACATCCACTAATTGGAATTTTATTCTAACTGACAATAAGTGAATTAACTATGTGAATTTAAAAATAAAGCTATTATTTAAATTCTAATCCAATTATTAGTTGTTCTTCTTAAAACACCAAGTTATTAATCAAATTTCCTAACATTATTCACATTCAAAATGATAATTCACTCTTTAAACTTCATGCAAAACAATTCTTTCTTTTATTTCTAATAGATACTTTAGTTTTAATTTTTAATTTTTATTTTATCTTTATTATTTTTATTTATTTCTTTACTTTTAGATTAATTTTATTATTTTTTTTATTATTATTTTTTTAAAATATATATTATTAATTCTTAAATAACTGATGGTAAAATTAATTAGTTAAGTTATTATCCTTAATCCATAGTAAAGTTTTAATCTTTAGTAAAAATTAAAAGTAAAAATAAAAGTAAAATTAAAAAACTAAGGTAAAAGTTAAAAGTTAAATTAAAGATTAAGTTAAAGTTAAAGTAATTTAAAATTTAAAAGTTGACATATAGAAGTTACGAGTTACTAACAAAAATAAAAGTAAAAATGAGACTTAAGAGGGAAAAAAACGAAGGTACCTTAATAATGCCCAAGAATTGAGGCATCAATCTCCTTTTCCTTCAAAAATTGCCAAAAATCGTGATGAACTCCAAATTGAATGATTTTTTCTTTTTTCCAAATTTAACTTAAAGATGCTCTTGTTACAACAATTTTCAATTCAATTTAGTATGTGAGCCACGAGAAATGCTCCTCCAATGTTGAGTGACTAAGATTTCCATGGCAGACAACCTCCCTCTACTTGGAAATTCATTTAAAAATTAATTCGTCCTTAAATTTGAAAAAAACTATGCCACTAGAAGCTCAGCTTAGAGATGCACTTACTCTATAAAATTTCATAGTAACTCAATTTAGAGGCACTGAGAAATACCTTATCAAAGTTGGATGATCTAAACTACCAAGCAACCAACCCCCCTCGCATTTACAAATTCACCAAAATTTTGTCCTTACTTTGAATCAAGCAAACAATACTTTTTTAAAAAGCTAACTTCAAAAGCTACAACTATAAAAAATTTCACATTGAGATTATATA